GAGATGGAGATAGGAAGATGGGGACTGCAAGGTCATCTTTCTTAAACTAGCTTGTCCAGTTTAAGGCCAGTCCCTGTTTCAAAAACCAAACAAGCACAAATCTAAAAGTTAATGGATAAAGGCATCACCACAAGTGGAAATTGCTGTGCCGTGTAAGGTGGTAATGTATAATGTGTAACGTGGATGTGATAGATGCCACCACTCTTTGCCTGTGCCTGCCTCTCTTCTCTGCTTGGAAGACGACTTTCCAAGCCCTTTGCTAATCTGCAAATCCCTCTTAAGCTGGGTCCTGGAGGGGCTCTGTGGAACACACTCGCCATGTGGCATGAGAGATAAACCTTTGCTATGCTGGCATTGGTTATATAGTTATATTCCCTGTCCTTCCCCAACACAGGATGTAATTAGAATATGTAAGTCTTCGAAATGAAAGTCAATGAAAGACCCAATAGCTAACTATCTATCACAATGGGATCTTTCTAGAACTTTCCATGACACTTTCACCTTTGTTTGTTTGTTGTTGTTGTTGTTCTTGTTGTTTTTGTTTTTTGATAAGGTGCTATTATTTCAAACTGGAAATCCTCCTGACTCGGCCTTCCAAGTGCTGGGGTCACTATCACCCACCACCATATTGAGCTCTGTGATTGAAATCAGGCCAGTAAGTGCTAACATTCTTTTGAGATTTAGAACATGCGAAATGTTTCCCAAGAGCTTCGTATGTGTACATTAATCTAGTCCTCTCTTGAAAATCTTTCAGTTGGAAGGCCATTGGGCTGCGATGACTCCCAGACCTGGTGTTGCCACATACTAAGGCAAAACCTGACAGAACAGTAAAAATAAACATAACCAATTAGAAAACCACAATGAACAGTTAAGTAGGACTTTCCACTTCAACTGACCAAATATATTTTCTCTCTTACTTCCTTGCACACCGTAAGAAAATTCGAAGTGCTCTCTTACACGCCCCCTGCAGAGTGCTCTAGGCTTGTGGCTGAGGCTGCCTGTCTGGAGTATCACTGAATGTTCAGTCTTTAAGATCGGAATATGCCTAAGTATGTGTTATAATGCCTTTCACAACCTACAGGCAAGGAGACTGACAGCCAGAGAAACTCAGCAACTTACCCAAAGAAAGAAGTGAAATCAGGATTTGTCCTCATCCTGTCAGACTCAAGGGCCAGAGTTACAACGCTCTCAGCTACTACGCAAGGAATATGCATGTAGAATTTGTTTCAACACCCCCTGTAGAAAAGTGTAATGTTTTTTCTTCTACTTTGAAAATAGCCACTGACAAATAGAAAAAAGACAAGCCTTCGTTCTCATTAACAAAGCAATTATAAATTAATTCTTTAAATAAATTTAACATGAAAGGTTTGAGACATATATTAAGAAAAGGAGGGTTGGCGAGATGGCTCAGCATGTAAGGGTACTTGCTGCCAAGCCTGGCGACCTCAGTTCAATCACTGGAACCTACAGGTAGACAGAGAGAACCAACTCTGCCTTCTGGGTACATGCTATAGCATGTGTGCACACATGTAGACATACAGACACACAAACACGCACCAAATAGTTTTTTAAAGTAATGAATACATAAAATATGTTTAGAAGTTACTTTTTTTAATGGTAAGATTGTTTTTAAAGGGATAAATGTCTCACTGTTTTAGGTAGGAGAATTTAATATTACAAAAGTTAATACTCCTGTCTTAGGGCCTCTTAACACAACCAGCGGTTTCCACAGCTGTCAGTCATTGCTGCAGTGAGGAGACACCATGTCTAAGGCAACTTGTAAGGAAGCATTTAACTAGGGCCTGCTTACAGCTTCAGAGCATCTGTCTACGGCCGTCAAGGTGCGGAGCTTGCAAACAGCAGCTGAGGCAGTAGCTGAGAGCTTAAATCCTGATTTGAAGGCAGCAGGCAGAGAGAAAGAGTGAGATTGGACCTAGCACGGGCTTTTGAAACTTCAAAGCCCACCCCCAGTGACACATTTCTTCCAACAAAGGCACACCTCCTAATCCTTCCCAAACAGTTCCACTAACTGTATTCAAATGTATGAGCCAATGGGACCGTTCTCACTCAAACCCTCACCATCTAGAAGCTTCCTTTCCTTTTGTAACCTCTGGCCATTAGAGCTGGTAAGGTGTTCAACCACACCCCAAACTTAAGCTACTCCTCTCTTAATACTCCGCCATGTCAGCATCCGGCCATTTCCTTCAAGGACTGGAAGGTCAAGGTTGGTTACCTGGGGACTGGTAATGCAGAGATTGGCAGCAGTAGGTTTCCTGGGAGTGATCTTAGGATCAATATCCAGAGAAGAGATATTGCTCGAAGTGGATACAGTCACAGGAAAGGCCTCAGCTAGTTCTCCAAGAAGATCTTTAGTGGTGATGAGCCTGTGGAGTTCACCTTGAAGTAATGGACTGGGTCTGGAGAGATGTCTCAGTTGGTAAAGTGCTTGCCATACAAGCATAAGGATGTGAGTTCAATCCCCAGGACTCATGTGAAAATCCAACAACAGCAGCACCACACCTATAATCCCAGTGCTGGAGAGCTAGAGACAGGAGGATCCCTGAGACGTGCTGGCCAGCTGAAGTGAACTGGTGGGCTCTAGGGTCTAGAGATCCTGTCTTTCAAACACATGGTTGGCAGCAATGGAGGAAGACACTTATTATCTATACAAGAGGAGCATAAATAGGACTTGAAGTCCAAGTGTAAGAGTAAATGTATGAGAATAGCCAAGAAAAAATATACTAGTAATCTCAGATACTGAAATACTCCAAAGGCCTGTGAAATTAGAACACTATGAACTTGGCACAGGGATGGACAAATAAGCCAGTGAAACAGAATAGAGAAGCCAGAAACAGCCTCAAGGCAGGACTGCTGTCCTCTCGGTCTGCATAATAGCCCTGTATCAGCGGTACTGCCCTGCACTAGCAGACATCATCCGTTCTGGCAGGTCTCTGTCCATGCTATTTTAATTGCATATTTTTGCAGATGCCCCAGATGCTTGGACACACAGTAAATTAGTATATACAGAATGCTATATATACTTTTTTTTTTTTTTTCTCGAGACAGGGTTTCTCTGTGTAGCTTTTCGCCTTTCCTGGAACTCACTCTGTAGACCAGGCTGGCCTCGAACTCACAGAGATCCGCTTACCTCTGCCTCCCGAGTGCTGGGATTAAAGACGTGCGCCACCACCGGCCAGCTCAGAATGCTGTACTTTTAATTCATGTCTTAAGGATGACCTGTTCCCTCTGTGCCACCAAATAACTCACTCTACATGTAGTAAAAGGTGAGGTTGCTTGCTCCCTTACACGGTGATTGATGATTAATCTTCACTGTCAATTTGACTGGAGTTAAAATCCCCTCAGAGACACACCTCTGTATTGTCTAGATCAGGGTATGTTTATGAGGGGGGCGGGTGTCTTGATGCCTTAACTGATGTGAGAAGACCCAACCTGAAAGTGGGCAGCACCACCCCCTAAGTCTGGACCCTGGACTAAGAGCAGGGAAAGTCTGCTAAGTACATGTATGCATTCTCTTCTCTCTGCTCTTGACTATGGATGTGACAGGACTGGCTGCTTCACGTTCCTGCCAGCTTCATTTCCCAGCACTGGTGGAGTGTAACCTGGGATGGTGAACTACAGTAGACCTCTCCTCCTCCTCCCCTGAGGTGCTTTTGTTAGGGTATTTAATCACAACAGAAATGGAACTGAAACAGGTCGTCACCAAAATGATAACAGGAATTACAGGGTGACACCGTGTCAGTCCCTACATAGTTATACTATTTTTTCAATTTTAAAAGGTGTATATTTACATATTCAGGCAATTTTCATCATGAGTAAAATAAAATAATGAAAATTTTCAATTAGCTTCTACTTAAATTAGACTTTAATTTAAGAAGAAATTTGAAGTGTCATGAAAATACTTAGGTAATATTGACTAAATTTCCTAATCTATTTAAATCTGATTTAAAGCCATGAGAATATCTAAGTGTTTAAAATTTTCCATCCTAAAATAAATAATAAACTAGGAGCTGAAGAGATGGCTCAGAGGTTGAGCACTTACTGTTTTTACAGAGACCTATATTCAGTTTCTGGAACCCACACGGAAGCTCACAACCATCTGGAGACACATACATGGCACACTTATGTATATATATGCAAGCAAAATATTCATACAAATAAAATTTAAAAAAAATCTTTAAACAGTTCAAAGTAAGTAAATCTTCGCCTGGAAAAATGATAAAGTAAGAAGTGTGCAGGCAGAGGTCGGAGGAAGGCAGGTGGTTTGTCTGACTCTGTCAACCTTCACCTCATTGCCTTGTGACAGGGTCTCCCACTGAGCAGAAATCACATTTTCAGGTAGGCAGGCTGGCCAGGAGCTCCCAAGACCTGTGTCTCCAGCCAGTGCTGGGGTTACAGGCATCCACACCGCTAGCCTGTGTTTCTGGTGGTGTTTTCTTTTTGGTATGTGGGTGCTGGGGATTCAAAGTCAGGTCCTCATGCTTACAGAACAAGCATTCTTTTCCACTGAGTCCTCTCCCGATCTGTGAGTTTTGTTACCATATTTTAAATTTTGTTTTGTTTTAGTTTTTGCTTTTTCAAGACAAAGTTTCACTCGGTAGCCTAGATTGGCTTGGAAATTACTAGGTGCTGGCCCCCAGTTTATGGCCATCTTCCTGCCTCAGCCTCCAAAGTGAAGATGGGACTCCAGGCCTGAGTCACCAGACAGTTGTTTGTTGGGACAGTGTCTCAGGCATTCCTCAGACTCACTGTGTAGCCAAGGACGAACTTGAACTTCTGCCCTCTGCTTGACCTCCCAGGCACGCACCACCACATCTGGCTTCCTGTGCTGCTGGGGATGAAACCCAGGCTTTCTACTCACTTTCTCTGGGACTGAGCCACACTTCAGCTGTATCCCCAGCACACCTAACTATTCTCTTGAGTTGATTCATACGTATATATCACTTCTTTGAACCAACCGAAGCACGGTCCATTAACTAGAAGCTAATAACTTGGAGGAACTCCACCTTACACTGAAGCATGCCATCAGCAAAGGACAGTCACTAGTGAAAGCCGGGCTGGAATAAACCCTGACAGACTGAAGACACTAAGAGACAGGCCCCTGTTTTCAACCGAGCAGCTAGCAGCACCTACCCGGATTCCTCCTCCTGGCTCCCCTGGGTTCTCTGAGACACTCCAGCCCGCCCACCACTGTCTGTCCAGTCTTTTTCTTACTTCTCCGACTGCAACCTTGTGCTCTTTTTTAGCACTGAGTTCCAAGTAACCCTTCTTTTCTCTCACTGTGACAGACCTATTGGCATTTAGTGTTCATCAATCTATCTCTCTCCCAGTGACTAGGAGGTTTGAAAAGTCTAGACTCAGCAGCACTTTTGGGGGGAAGGTGCTCTGGTCCCGGGGGAGAGTTAGTAAGGAGCGGTGGGTTGATCAGTCAGTCCCAACATTTGGGCTTCCAGAGCACCAGGCAGTCCTTCCTCTAGCTGGAAGCCCCACTTTCTCATGGACCATGGCTTAGATAGTCATTTGCTCCCTGACCTAATCCAAATCGACCTTTCTAGAGGGAAGAACATTCATTGTACTTAAATGGAATCTGCCCTAACTCTCTAATTGTGAAACCCGAGCCGCCCTTTGCTAGCACCGTCTGAACTGCGTCTGCAAGCTGTGGAGATCTTAAGTCTCTGGTGATGATGCAACCGGGAAGCAAACAATAGCTGCTTCTGTGCCGGAGAAGATGTGGGATTTGCATATGACTGACAGTTAGAAAGCTAAGAACTGTGGTCTATCGTTCCTTAATAGAAGTTTTATTCAACCGCTCTGTCATGATTGGTTATCTGCACATTTTCAAACCAGAGAAACCGCTCTGTCATGATTGGTTATCTGCACATTTTCAAACCAGAGATTGTTTTTTCTTCATGGTTTGGAAAATTCCAGTGGCACTCTGCAGTTTCCTTATTGACAGAAGCCATCAGGCTCCCCGAGAGGGTCTTATCTGCCAGGAACAGCCGTTACTGCCGAGCTGCCAGACAGGTTCAGTGGGACTACACAGCTGTGGAGAGCTGCAGGCCAGGCGGGGTGAATTCCCGGCTTTCTCCTTTCAAGGACTGCAGGCTTTGACCTGTAAGTAGGAGCCTGAACAGCCCAATCTGTCACACAAATATGCCTCAGCAGCCATCGTGATGCCCTCTATTACGTGACTTAGCATTGCTCCCAAGGCACGCATTCAGAGGGCTGCTGTACTTGAAGCTATGCCTGGCATTTCCATAAAACCCTCTCAAGACATGATATAATGATTCGATTTTTATTTATAGCAGCCAATGAGAACGAGGCCTTTCCTACAGCTTCAGCTCCGAAGAGCAGCCCTAAAGTAACCAACCAACTGGAGCCTTTGACGGAGGAGGCTGGTGATCCGAGAAGATGACCTGCAAGGACTCAGTGCTCTGCGCTGGAAGGATTGGGGTTGAGATGACCTCTCCCTTCTCTGCCTGTGGAGAAGGATGCTCTTCCTTCTAGTGTCAAAAGGTGTAGTTTGTTCTTGATTGTTGAGAGAGCTGTTTTCAATTTGTGAAATTGAAAAGAAAAAAAATGCCAGCAAGTTGGCATCATCTTTGACATTCACCATTATAGAATGAATTTCTAGGCAAGTTTTGCCCTGTTTTATCCTTAAAATAGAGAAAAATTGGCTAAAAGGTTGAAAGTGATATTTAAATATAAATTCTTACTATGGAGGTCATTTGGCAGAATGCTAGGGATAAAGAGGATTAGAAGTAAGATTGGGACTTTTAGTCATCAAATCACAAAACCATTTTATTTATTTATTTATTTATTTTTAAAATTTTATTTTATTTTACAATACAATTCAGTTCTACATATCAGCCACGGATTCCCTTGTTCTCCCCCCTCCCGCCCCCTCCCCTTACCCCCATCCTACCCCCCCATTCCCACCTCCTCCAGGGCAAAGCCTCCCCCGAGGACTGAGATCAACCGGGGAGACTCAGTCCAGGCAGGTCCAGTCCCCTCCTCCCAGGCCGAGCCAAGCAACCCTGTATAAGCCCCAGGTTTCAAACAGCCAACTCATGCAATGAGCATAGGACCCGGTCCCACTGCCTGGATGCCTCCCAAACAGATCAAGCCAATCGACTATCTCACCCATTCAGAGGGCCTGATCCAGTTGGGGGCCCCTCAGCCATTGGTTCATAGTTCATGTGTTTCCACTCATTTGGCTATTTGTCCCTGTGCTTTATCCAACCTTGGCCTCAACAATTCTTGCTCATATAAACCCTCCTCTTTCTCGCTAATTGGACTCCCGGAGCTCCACCCAGGGCCTAGCCATGGATCTCTGCATCCAGTTCCCTCAGTCATTGGATGGGGTTTCCAGCACGACAATTAGGGTGTTTGGCCATCCCATCACCAGAGTAGGTCAGTTCGGGCTGTCTCTCGACCATTGCCAGCAGTCTATTGTGGGGGTATCTTTGTGGATTTCTGTGGGCCTCTCTAGCACTTTGCTTCTTCCAGACTCAGAAAGACAAACATGGTATGTACTCACTCATAGGAGGATACTAGATGTAGAACAAGGATGACTGGACTGCTACTCACATCACCAGGGAGGCTACCTGGAAAACAGGACCCCAAGAAAGACACGGGGATCACCCAATGATGGAGAAATGGATGAAATCTACATGAACAGCCTGGACATGAGTAGAGGTAATGAAGGGCGAGGGTCGAGGGAAAGAGAGCTTGGGGGAGCGGGAGATCCCAGCTGGATCAAGAACAGAGAGGGAGAACAAGGAATAGGAGACCATGGTAAATGAAGAACAGAAAACCATTTTAAATGGCACCTCTACTTACAACTTTCTGGTGATGGCGTCCTCATGTGAATAGCATTCCCTTTTGAAGTGAGCAAAAGTGACAGCTGACTGTGTTCACATTAGCGAGGTTCAGTTTGTTACCCTGAATGATAAGGACTCGTAAAATATTCCTTTCCCTGATGGCATTTCATCAATTCATGTATTAATGTTAGCACTAGGCAAAGTCAAATAGAACTTCACAACTACAGCTACTCCAAACATTTAGCATCAGATGTACATGGCAACATATATGTACTTCAATAGAACTGGATCCATTATGGTAGTTGATAATTATATAACTGTTTTTGGGGGGTGATTTTCTTTGCTGTCATTTTGATTATTGATTTTTGAGACAAGATCTCATCTATGACCTAGACTGTAGCTCAGAGTATCCTCCTGTTTCAGCTTCCCGAACGTGAAGCATCTGGTTATAGATGCCAATTTTTAAAAAATTGTTTGTTTTGACTTTTGGGGCATCTCATATAACCTAGGCTCGCTTTGAATTTGATATGTAGCTGAAGTTATCCAATCTCCACCTTCCAAGTGCTTGGGTTGCAGGACGTGATTAGCCTTTTAAGGATAATGTTTTAGTGGCATATATTGAAGTTGAAAGAACTTTATAGTATTTATTCTTTTTTTGTTTTGTTTTGTTTTTTGAAAAGTAACAGTAGCCCTGATTCTCCTGGAACTCGCTCTGTAGACCAGGCTGGCCTGGAACTCAGAGATCCGCCTGCCTCTGCCTCCCACTGAGATTAAAGGCGTGCGCCACCACACCTGGCTTTAATATTTATTTTTATTAACTCTGAGATGGAGAGTATTGACAAGTATTGCCTAGTTGTCGGATTGAGAAAAAAGCTGTTGCAATTTTAATAACGAATAAACAAACTTAAAATCAGTTGTTTGATAACAATCTGAAGCAATTGATGCTTCCATTCTACCACTTAAACCATGAGGTTTAAAAATGGCCTATTATTGCCAGCTTCGGTTCTGTGGTTTCATAATTTCCCCCTCATGTCTTAGTCTTTCTATATTTATTTTCAAACTATTTCCTTTTGTCTCCTTTTATATTTATTCATTCTTTCTTCAGTTATTGACTATTTGTCAGGCCCCGAGAATAGAAACAAACAAAAAAGACAATATTTGAACTGAGACTTGAAAACAGGCTAGGTTCTGCCTACGTTTGGTCCCTGTGTTCTCAAAGTTTGCATATTAGCGAAAAAGAGAGTAAACACAGCGTATCAATTAAAAAAAGATTATTACAGTTTAATCATACCTGCTGTGATCACTCTGTCAGTACAGTGACTTTAGAGACACATTCTGAAGGATGGGCAGGAGCCAGCCCTAAAGTCTGTTCAGAGCAGGAAATGCTCTGGCAGGATTGAGAGATAGAAAGATAACTAGCATGGCTGGAGGGTGTCTTAGTTTCTTTCCCTGTCGCTGTGATAAAGCACTCTGAGAAAAGAAACTCAAGGATAAAGGGCTCCCAGTGGCCCACAGGTCACGGTACAGCCACTGTGGCTGGGAAGCCGCAGACTGAGGTAGCTGGTCCGTCCTGTCTGTAGCCAGGAAGCAGAGGGCAGTGAGTGCAAGCTGCTGCTCAGCTCCCCTTTGCCACGCCTGGTCCAGAATCTCAGCCAGGAAATGGTGCTGCTCACAGTAGGTAGGTCTTCCGCCTCAACGAAGGAACTCCAGACAATCGCCCACAGGTGCCGTCAAGTTGACAGTTAACATTAACCTTTAGGAGAATGAAAAATGGCATCGGGGGAAAGTTACTGTAGTGTCTGAGTGTCTGAATGCTGCCCCCAAGTCCTCTACAGTAATCTACCCCTCAAGCTGTTGGTATCAGGAAGTGGGACTTTGGAATGGGATCTGAGTCCTTAGGAAAAGAGGCCCAAAGGCCGGCTACATGGCTTAGGGCAGCGGTTCTCAATGTGTGGGTCACAACCCCTTTGGGTTGACTCTTTCACAGGGGTCACCTACGACCGCCGGAAATATCAGATACTTTTCTTACAATTCAAAATTATCATTATGAAGTAGCAATGAAAATAATTTTAATGTTGGGGGTCAGCACAACATGAGGAACTGAATTAAAGGGTCGCAGCGTTAGGAAGGCGGAGCACCACACCACTGGCTTAGTGAGTGAAAGGTACTCACTGACAAGCCTGACAACCCGCGGTCAGTCCCTGGGACCACGGGGTAGAAGGAGAGATCTGACTCGCCAGAGCTGTCCTTCCCTCTGTCCTCCACATGCACACAGTGATGTGTGCGCGCGCACACGAAAAGTAAAAATGTAATTGCAAAATAATTTGAAAGAAAAGAAGGCCATGAGTGCCTCTTGACCCACCTACCAAGTGTGGACACAGGAAGAAAGTGCTGAGTGTGAGCCCGAAAGCAGGCCTCTCTCGACCTCGGGCCCACTGCCACCTCCATCTCTGAGTTCCTGGAGAACTGTGCGGGTGACTGTTGCTTGTAAGCCACCAGCTACGAGGTTTTTGGTAGGTTGGTTTTTTCTTTTTTCTTTCTTATTTTTTTTTTAATGGCAGCCCGAACAGATTGACACAGTAAGGACTTTTGAAAAGGTGGTAGAAGCCACATCCTTGTAGGCTGAGCTCAGGAATTCAGAATATATTCAGTCAACACTAAGACTCAAAAAGACATAGGCAGGGGAGGGTCATTCACCATCAGTGTGGCTGCTGCTTAAGACAGCGACATCCCAGTGTGATGATGAATCTGTTGATGCTCAGGAAAGAGCTTCTCGTGTTACAAGCTTGTATTGAAACCCATAACTAACTCAAGCAGCCTTTTGCACCAAAATTATGTCACTAATCAAAAATGAAATGACAGCAAAGTTTTTGAGCTCTGTAGTGTGCCCAGGGGACCAAGCAGAAACAGACGGATCATGCTCCAAGAATCTATGTGAGCCAAGTGAGCATCTTAAAGGGCCACGAATAATGTCATCCCCTTTCTTTTGGATATGGGAAATCAAAAGCCATAGAGCTTATTGATTTTATGAGACTGGTTCAGAAATGTCAGGGTAATAACTCACAGTCGGGGTGACAGTGGCGGTGGTCACTGAGGTGCAGTCATCCTTCATTCAGACTTAGAGGACACAGTTTTATTATTTCTAGGATTTTGAAGAAATTAGAGAGAACTCCAATCATTATGTATTTCTTGAAGCCTTTTCCATTTAAGTGTGATCTGAACTTCCTCTGATCCCGGGTGAATCACCTCACTGGTGGCACAGAACACCATCTGCCTCACATTTTCCCGAAGGGAGGGACAGACTGTGCTTTTTTTCGTAGGCTCTACAGTTATGTCATCTTGCTAACACCTCTTGTCTATCTGTCTTGGCCTGTACTTGACCTCATTCACACATGTTCTTGGGTCCTCTGTTTCTCCAAGAGCAGTTTTGGAATGTCTGCATGGAGAATTAGTTTATATTTTGGCTGATTATTTTGTTAACATAACACGATGGAATGCAATCCTTGCTTCTCCTCAGCCTTGACAGCCCTTGGCAGGAATTGCTACTTACTTCATTGTGATTTCCATCATGGGGAAAGCACTCCCTCTTCTTCTCATGGACAGCCTTGCCTCAGATCTTCCCCCTGGCTTCTCCTATGCCTCTTCTCTCTTGTCCTCTGACCCAGCGTTTGGCTTCATGTTGTACTCGAAGCAGACAGCTTACTGTTCCCAAGCTATTCTTCAGCACCTTCGCACGTGCTGCTCCACTAAGTATGGAATTCCCCATTCTCCCCTCCCCAGGCAACATTCGGCGGCTGCTTCCTATACCAAGTCTGTTTGGAACCCTTCCATCAGAAATCTGTTTGACTTCTCCTTGGTCATTTCCCCTAAGACTGAACTAACAGCTAGGTTTCAAACCTGGGACAAATGGTTGAGGTGCCTACTTAACATAGGAGAGCTATTTAACAGGAACCTGTTCAGACTTCCTAAAGACAACAGGTAGAGGCCAAGATCCAGTAAAGGATACAGCCTGTGACCAGCATGGGCAGAGAAGGAGTCAGCTGTTTGGGGAAGGAACAGGCAAAGAGAAAGGGAAGTCTCAGTTTAGAAGCCAGTTGTAGCTGGGCATGGTGGCACACACCTTTGATCTCTGCACTTCGGGAGGCAGAGGCAGTCGTATCTGAGTTCAAGGCTGACCTGGTCCACAGAGTGAGTTCCAGGACAGCCAGGGCTATACAAAGAAACCCTGTTTCAAAAAAGAAAAACAATAATAATAAACAGACAAACAAACAGAAAACAAGAAGAAAAGAAAAAAGACGAGGAAAGAAAGAGAGGAAGGAAAGAAAACAGTTGTAGTTTTTGCTATGAACTCTGAAAGCCACTTACCAGTTCTGTGATTCTGTGTGAGTTACCTTCCTTTTCTCTCCTCAGGCTTCTCATCTGTGAAGTGGGGAGAGGACACCAGGTTTCTCAGAGCTATGACGACCAGTGAGAAGATAAAGGATGTAGTGTTTGTCGAAGAAAGGATCCCCAAAGATGTTGGTTTTTCCTTCACTGTGTTGGAAGAGAGCCCAGTGACTGATCTAAACTGCCTACTGGTACAAAGAACCTCTGGTGAGGTTCATGTATATACAGTTGGGAAACAAGTAGACCTTTGGGTAGGAGAAGGGTGAGGACACTTCCAAGTTGCAGATCACGGAGGCAAGTGGGCCAGCAGCTGTCTAAGAGACTGGAATACTGGGGATATCAAATGTGAAGAGCAGGGTTTGAGGAAATTGTTTCAGTCACAGCATGGGTCCAAAGGAACTGTGTGTGAATTCAAAGTACAATGACTAGAAAAGGTCGAGTACATTTACTCAGCCAAGCTCTTATGATTTCCTTAGCCCACTGGGATGTGGCCAGAAATATCATGGGCCCTAAGAGGCACGCTGCAGGCAACTATTCCACCTTCTGCCAGGGAGCAGACTCTGCCTGGTAGTGAACTACTTGGATCTGAATATCCACAAATAGAAAGAATTCTTTGTATGCCTCCAAGATTCTGAGGTTGTCATACAGTTCCTGTGGAAGTCAGAAGAGGGCGTTAAATCCGCAGGAACCAGGGATCTGGAGTTAGAGAAGATTATGAGTCATCTGGGGGTGCTGGGAACTGAACCCAGGTCCTTTGCAAGAGCAACAAGTGTATAAACTGCTGAGCCATCTCTCCAGCCTTAGCAACTGACGCAGTTTTGTTACGTCCGAAAGTTTTAACCCAGGAACTGCAGACTGTGGTTCTAACAGCAGCCAGCATTATAAAATTTTGCTGCATTACTCAACCGGCCCTGCGTATGGGTGACCTGGTGGCCAGTGTGAGATCTGGATAGCAGAACGTTTGTGGGTTAGACTCTGGTTGTACACAGACCTAGTTGTACATAGCTCAGTGGTGAACTCAGGTGGAAAATCCACCTCCTTGGCCTCTCCGGTACTTTCCAAGTCCCTTTTATTCCTCACTTTGGTTGTCTTGCAGTCAAGGGAAAGCAATTAGTTATGGAGCTGTGCTGTACACTTATGTAACTGCTTGCATTCAGAACGAAGCAGCAAATGTCTAGAGAGAAATAAACCGCGCGGGCTTGTCCTATCCTCTCACTATTTCTTACCAGAGGCTCCATGGTGGTCTCCATCACCATCAGACTGCTGGGAAGCTGGAGCACAAGGTAACTGAGAGAAGCCCTGAGGATTTCTGCACGTTCTCTGAGCGTCCGTCCGTCCGTCAGGAGCTCCCACCCAGCTCTGTAAGAGAATTCGAGAGGGGCTTCCTTGGGAGCCGGGATGGTTAATGTCGATCATTCAGTTGGCAATGACTGGAAGCGCACAGGAGGAGACAAACCTAGGAACAGATCTGAGAAAGACTTAAAGACTTGAGTAAGAAGGCCCTCCCTATATGTGGGAGGTGCTGGTCCACGGTCTGGAGAGCAGACAGTGAGCCCCACATTAGCATTCATTTCCGTCTGCTTCCTGGCTGTGGCTGCCATATGACCAGCCATCTCCTCTTCCTGCTGCTGCTGTGCCTTCTCTGCCATGATGGACTGCACCCTCCAACTGCGAGGCAAAATAACCCTCCCTTCGTCAAGTACTGCTAGCAGGTATTTTCTCACAGTAACAAGCACAGTGACTAATGTAGAAGCTTCCCCCTCGGGGGCTCCAGGTTTGAGGCTGCATTATAGTCAGGTTGAGAGATACTGAAAGACTCCAGACATCTGCAATCCAGCTGTTGTTCTTTTTAGAGTACTCATGTGGGGGCTGCAAGCACACCAGCTAGGCTTCATAACTGAGCGATATCCAGATACTCTAAACCCCAGTCTGTCTTTCTGCTCCACAGTTATTTCATACTGAACTTGTCATGACTACATTCCGGGGCACGTATCCAAACCTGTGGGTGTACCTTCAGTTTTCATTGCTACATTTTATCAGAAAGATTTCTCCTGTTTTCTCTCTGTCTGTAGCATGTAGACTAAATATAACCATGATTCATGTATTAAACGCGCATCCATTTAATTTACTCCTGGGGTAAACAGAGACATAAAACTTCTCGTACCTCCAGGCAGTCTTGACTTCGGCATTGAACTTTGTTGGGAGCTTTGTTCCCTTTTTATTTGAACAATCTTTGGGCATGTAATTATGAGGTTGCCGACTGGTGTGCATAGTGAAAAAAAAAAGTTTTCAGATTAGTGAATGTCTTCTCCATTTAAAGAAAAACACTTCCCTTCCCCCAGAGTTCTTGATAAAAACAGCATCCCTATTGGATCACTAAATTATTTAAAAAAAAATTTAAAGATACATATTAGATAAAATATGCTAACAATAAAACACTGTGTTTCTAAGGTAATTATTCTTTATTACCAGAATATTATTTTAATACTGCTAATGATATTATTGAAGCATTTAAAACCATGTTTTCCCAGCAGCAACTGCTCATGGGAAGAATCCACTCAGTAACTGAGTTTGTGTGTGTGTTGGAGTGGTTACATGAGGGCTTTTGCCTTTTGCTCAGTTTTGTTTTTCCACCTTTCTAAGTTATCTATGCCCTAACACATACTTGTACCATCAGATAAAATAACGCTTGTAAATGTGATGGAATTTTAGAAGCGGTGTGTGTGTGTGTATGTTTGTGTGTGTGTGTTAGGCTGTTGACCCATTTGTGAGATGAGGCCTCTGTGTAGTCCAGGCCAGAGAGCCTCCTGCCTCAGCCTCTCAAGTGTTGTGATAACTGGTGTGCACCACCATGCCCAGCTTGGGAAACTGAGGCAGGCTCTTCCTCAGGCCCATGCAGCCATCACCAACAGGCTTTGCTCTCAGGCTCTCAGCTTCCTCATGAACATGTGAACATGGTGACGGTCCTGTTCATTCTGTTTATTTACCCTCAATACTTTTGGCGAGACTAGGAGGTAAAGTTAAAACACTGCACTGTTGATGGCGTTCGGCGCCTCCCCGGGCTTCATGCTGGGACTGAGATTGCTGTGGTAAAGTAAGACCAGAAGAGAACACCTGCTCATCACCATGCATGTTAGCCCTTGGGGTCAGAAGGCTGACAGACTATTTAAAATTGTGATACTTAGTTATTTAGTGCTTTTAAAAAAAATTCTGGCTGGGCAGTAGTGTCGCACGCCTTTAATCCCAGCACTCGGGAGGCAGAGGCAGGCGGATCTCGGTGAGTTCGAGGCCAGCCTGGTGTACAGAGTGAGATCCAGGATAGGCGCAAAGCTACACAGAGAAAGCCTGTCTCAAAAAACAGAAAAAAAAAAATTCTGGGAACTTCTATGCATTACTTCCTGAAGATCAGAAGTTAAAAAAAAAAAAAAGTAGTAAGTAGCATGCATACCCCGGTTGACCTGTCCCACACTATCCTGTACAGCAACCTTAACAGTGACAGCCAGGCGGTGGTTGCACACACCTTTATTCCCGGCACTCGGGAGGCACAGGCAGGTTCTGTGAGTTCGAGGCCAGCCTGGTCTACAGAATGAGTTCCAGGACAGGCTCCAAAGATATCGCAAAGAAACCCTGCCTCGAAAAACAAAACAAAACACAGTGACTGGAAAGACGTCCAGAGGTTAAGAGTGTGTATTGCTCTTGACAGGACCTGACCTTGGTTCTCAACACCCACATCAGCAATTCACAACTGCCTAGGACTATAACTCCAGGGGATCCAACACCTTTTTCTGGCTTCCGTGAGCACTGTCCACATGTACACATAACCAGACACAAACAACAAATACACATGTAATTAACAATAAAATCTTTAGCGGCTGGAGGGCTCAGTTGTTGAATGCACCTGGCTGCTCTTCCAGAAGACTTGGGTTCGATTTTCAGCACCCACACAGTAGTTCACAACCACCAGTAACTCCAGTACCAAGAGATCCAAAAACTCTCCTCTGGTCTCTGCAGGTATTGCATGTATTGTGGTATCCATGTGGTACCCATAGTCATAAAGTTTAAAAATAAAGAAATGAAATCTTTTTAAAAAGGGATGTAAAACTCACTTCCTCAGCCAAGGATGATGGAAAAGAACACAAGACGGGATAAGGCATGGGCTCTTGGTAGGTTTCCACTCCTGGGGCTGAGGAAGCCTTTGTTCCCTTTTCCTAGGCATTCTGGTTGCTACACCTGGATCTGTGCCCGTATTGGCAGGGCCTGTCTGGCCCCAGAAGGCACTGAGTTTGGAACTCTATGATAGCAACGCAAGATCAAGTTATCTTTGAACAAATTCAGCCCCACCCTCTTTTTTAGAGTAAGTACTGACTTTTCACAGGGGCTCTGACCTTTGTAGTGGCTGTCAGTGGCCATGGTGGCTCCAGGTCTTTAATTAAGAAGTCATTAGTTGACTACACAGAATGGAAGGTTCGGTTGAAAAGCCAGAATGTGGAGTGTGACAGCCACTCCAATGAGACGAGGCTTTGAAGTGGTTTGCATCTCTAGGTGCATCGTGGAAAACTGTCATCAGTCTGCCTTGGTGAGTCACTAGAGATGTGATTTTTGTCGATGACGACAAAATAGACAGTTCTAATCTTCACCTTGGATTCATTACTGATGTGTGGAGGACTTTCATTCATGGATGAACGGGTTAGTGAAATGGGCAGGAAGGTGCATTTTTGAATGGGAATGTGACTTGACTCTGGTGTCCAGAGCTTGAAGCTGGGTACGAAAATAGAATTGGCAGGCCACATAGATTCGAAAAGTAACACATGATTTCAGGAATATATAAATATAATCCAGGGGAAAATTCCCTTGGTGATGACTGCTCTGTTATGTGCTTGGTAACTAGAGATGGGATTTTTCAGCACAAAGAAATAGTCTGAACTTCCTGGTAGAAGAACACTGACAGTTACCCAGACATAAACAAATCTAAATATCTCGTTCTTTGAATCTATTACCCTTAGAAAACAAGTTACTTTACTACTTTTTAAATTAATTAATTAGAGTGTATATGTGAGTGTGTGTGTGTGTGTGTGTGTGTGTGTGTGTGTGTGTGTGTGAGTGCGGATTTGAGTTGCCACAGAGCTTGTGTGGAGGTTGGTGGACATCCTATTCTCTCTTCTTTCTGCTGCACAGCAGTGAACGCTAGGCTTAGGTAGTCTGCAAGCATCTGGCAGATTCTTCTGTTTCTGGCTCCCATTTCTCTGTTGGAGTTCTGGGGTTACAGGTGCATGCCATCCCTTCTTTATGTGGTTTGTAGGGAACTGTAAACCATCTCCCAAGCTCCCAAACAAGTTACTTGAAAAACTTACTCTGGGCTGGTGAGATGGCTAAGCCAGTTAGAAGTACTTGATACCAAATGTGGTGGTTTGAATAAGAATGGCCCCCATTGACTCATATTTGAATGCTTAGGGAGGGGCATCAGAAAGTGTAGCCTTTTTGGAAATGTGCCACTAGGGGGGGTGGGCTTTGAGGTTTCAAAAGCTTAAGCCAGGCCTAGTGGCTTCCTATCTCTTCCTGCTGCCTGCTGATCCAGATGTAGAACTCTCAGCTCCTTCTCCAGCACATGTCTGCCTGTGTGTTGCTGTTTTCTCTGCCATGATGATAATGGACTAAGTCTCTGAAACTGTAAACCAACCTCAACTAAGTGCTTCCTTTATCAGAGTTCCCGTGGCCGTGGTGTCTCTTCACAGCAATAGAACACTGACTAAGACTCAAGGTAACAAGGAGAAAAGTCACAACTGAGCGAAAGGTTGGTGGAGATAGGGAGGTGTCTATCAGAGAGTTGAGATACACAAGAGAAAGGATGGATCTGGATATTTGCGGATGTTGCATGGCGGTCTTGGTGGACCTCTGCTGCAAATGCAAAGAATGGAGAAAAATTAGTTTGAACCAGGGTGAAGGTTTCACTGAGTGAGCAGTGGAAAAGGGAGAGTCGGGTTGTGTACAAGGAATGAGCCCTTTCCCCTGGGAAAGCAGGAAGAAAGAACAGGGACAGGGTGATCAAGTCACATGTCATCCGAGTGTAGTCAAGAAAGTGTGCTAGAACTGAGGAAGTGGTGTGTGGAGTTGTAGCTAACTGGTTGTGACCAAGGATAAGGTGTGACTCTGGCACTTCGTTCAAGAAAAGTTTAAAAAAAAAAAAAAAAAGAGGAGGGCCGGGAGGGGTGGCGCACGCCTTTCATCTCAGCACTTGGTTGAGAGGCAGAGGCAGGAGGATCTCTGCGAGTTCCAGGTCAGCCATCGCTACAAAGCGAGACCCTGTCTTTAGGAAAGAAAGAAGGAGAGAAAGAAAGGAAGATAGGCCAGGGTGTTGGGTGTATCCTTATGTAAATAATGGAATCACCAAGATGACAAGAAATGATAGAAATAAAATAATGAGGTAGATGCTGGAATAAAGTGGAATAAGCTGTCATGTGACTACAAAAAAGGCAAAGTCTATGGGACAGTCCCCAAAGCATGTGCAGGCATCGGGGCAGCGTGTGGCAGGGCAGATGAATGCAGCACAGCACGAAGCTCTAAACACACTGAGATTTTTAGTCAGGGGTGGTGACTCCAGCCTCTAATTCCAGTAGGTCAGGGGGCAGATCTCTGAGTCCAAAGCCAGCTTGGGCTACATAGTGAGATCCTGTTTTTTTATTATTATTATTATTTTTTTTAAGTTTTCTTCCATAGTTTTCTTTCGTAATGTTTGAAAACATTGAGTTTTTTTCAACTGTTTTTAGTAACTTGATTATGCAGGTTTCTAGCCTGAACTTTGTACTGACCACATTGTATATCAATATGGAAAGACTAGACATGCCTGGATGCCATGCATTTCAGAAGTGCTGTAGATTTTTAGAAGGAAAGAATCATGGTTTGGAATTGGCAGAGATGAGTCATGGTTCGATTTCATGATCGGAGGCTTGGGAGCATGTGACTGGGGAAGGCAGGATTGGAATGAGTTCCATCTGATTGCCAATATTTCCTTATGTCACTTGAGGTCTGCCCTGGGATTCTGGCTTTGGAAACTGACTCAAGGATTCTCTTTGCCTTTGTGCATTTGTCTGACTTCAAACTTTTGTTGCTTTAAAAAGCTGCTAGGACCTGTTGTAAATGATTTATTCCTGTTAAAACTGATATATATATATATATAATGTTAAAATATATATTAGTATATTAACATAACATTAGTATAACATATTAATACAATATATTATAAAATATATATTATTCCTGTTAAAATTGAATATATATAGGAAAATTTCAAACATCCTGAAGTAAAAATTCTAGAACAACAAAGCCCCCATGTACCTGTCACCTAGATTGAACTCAAACCCCATCTTCATCCTACATTCCTTTCCTTTTCAATCATTTGAAGTAAATCTTTGACTTCATATCACCTTACAAATATTTCAATATTTACTTCTAAATGAT